CGCATGGTGAGTCGACTTTTCTAATCAATTTTTCTCAACTATTCCACACCTGTAGGAAATATCTAAAAAACACAAAAACTACACAATTTTCCAAGCTTTCATTCACTATTCGTTATTCGTTGGTTTATTGTAACTTGTAGTAAAGTATTCTGGAAATCTTTCTAAATAGTTCTTCGACAGTTTGTCGAAGTGGAGGTGTTAGTCACATTCATTAGAATGCAAAGACGTGACCGTCCAGGAAAATTCAAACTTCGTATTTATCAAATGTTTATAATATTTATAATATTAATTGATCTATATAGGCTATGAAAGAGATATTTCATTCGAATACAGCGATGGCACTCTGCCCGGCAAATCCTGTAATAGAGATAAACCATGAACGCGAAGTGCGTCCACAGCGGAACACGGCAAAAACGTCACTGATGGTATCCACAGTGAACTTGATAAAAAGGTTATTGTGATGTTCAACAGTTTGATTTTAACTCATTATATGTACACAGCTGTATGTTGCTTCTCTACTATAAGTTGTCTTCTATAAAACAATACCAGTTTCTATCAATATTGATTTTATGTGATCTCTGCATGCAGCTACCGACATCTACATCGTCAGATTTCGCGAACGGGTCCGAAATCATTGCCGATTCTGGTTCTTTGAATAACGATGCTTCTGGGCATCAAGAAGTATCTTCGGGGTTAACGGGAAATTCCGCCGATGAGATTGCCGTTTCTCATTTCGAAGCAGATGAGCTTGCGGCTTCGTTTCCCGCCAAGGAAACAATAGATTACCAGGTGAACACACTTATGCGAACACACGCGATTGTCAGTACATATACACAACACATGGCCAGGTCAAGGAATTCCAACGTATTAGAGTCAAATTATATCTTTAAATGCTCCAATTCGTCATTTTAGGAAGAGACTCCCTTATACCTCCACCAGAGTTGCGACGCGTGCAAGTTTGTGAGAGACGAAATTAAAACCGAAGTCGGAAGAAAATAATCAAAAGGCTGACAACTAAAATAAATAGAGTTAAAGATCGCCTACAGGAAAAGGAAATCAAATTCCTCATTTACATTGGTTCTTTCATCAGGAAAAGTACTGTTCACATCACTTTCAAGGGAAGCTATCGAGGGAATGGAGCAATAACTAGATGATCGGTCACTTTCGCTTGAAGACATAGCGATTTTGCCCTACAAGCTCTCTTGCTTTCGGGTTGTCTCGATTGGATGACGTCACTACGTTTTGATGCGTTACAGATGTCCTGCCGCTCATTTATTCAACAGCAATATGGTGGAAGGGCGATTTCGCAACGCAAAAGTTTCATTTTCTCGGCGGTCGTTGGCTAGATTTTTCTAATATTTAATACATATGTTATTCAAAGTGCATAAATTCGAGATATTGTTGTGAAAAGGTTTTACGGAATGATACGTTTTTCGTCACAGTCCCGCTTCAAATGGTTAGCCCTCATTACATGCGACGAAAGATTCTGTATGAAAAGGGGGATATTAAGGAAAAGGAAGATGGGAGGGAGAAGATGATGAAAGCAATAACGATGATCACGATAACAAAACAAAAATATTGAGTATGATGATGCTAATCATAATGATCATGATATAATTGGCCGTCGTGGTAATATTGTTATGATGATGATAATGTTCATGAAATAACGTAAGGGATGCATAAATATGTCAAAGGAGACTTAAGGAATTTTTTTACCTGCACACTCCACATGGGCCACAGTGATAAGGGTCTAGTTTTGCATTTCCTGTAGTTTCAATCAAAAGTTTGCATTCTGGACAGAAGTAACTGGAAAATGTATTTCCACACGACTCATTTTCACACTTCTGACAAAACTATAAGAAAATTGTGCATATATTAATACCTTAAAAACAGAAAATACCCATAACATATAGTGCTGTAGATACCAAGAGGAATGATGATATCAGAGACATGGTCTCACAAACATTATCAAAATAAAAATGTAGAAAATTTGTGCCCCGCCCGAATAACAAGAGGAGCACTATTTTACTTTATACACCACTTAAATAGTTCACGAAAATATAAAATTGGGCTATGACAATTGAGGATTAATATGGTAGATTACAGAAATCACCTTTGACTGTATGTGGTCACATGCTGCACACTTAAGGCGATCTCCGTCCTGTGCTTTGGCCAGTGTATGTTCCTTTGTAACAACCGAAGAGAGTTGTAAATTTATTTTCGTTACTTTCCTGTGACATACTTTTGATACTGTGAATATCCTCATCGTTGCTCAATTGATCTGATATCCCCCACCCTACGTATGCATGTGAGCAAAAAAAATATGATAACGTATTTTTCTTCTTGAAACAACTAATTACAACAGCGCACAAGTCAAACCAGAAGGTACTCTTTGTTGATCGAAAAGTTCACATCAGGCTTATTCAGTATTTGCCACTCGAACTGGATATGTGCAATTAATGTACATAAAAGATGCAAAAATCCCAGAGACTTCTCAAGACGAGAAAGGTAAAAAGGTTGATCATAGCGGTAGTTGATAGAATCTGTTTACGTCCGGTCTGTTCTGATTTCGACTTTGCAGCCAGGATTGGATCTCTTTTGGAGGGGGAAGGATTTAAGCCAGTTGAGAGGATGGAGTGGGGGGAAAGCAGGTGGCGAGGGATAGGGACACCCAATGTAAATTAAGAAATTTGGAGTGTTACTTTTGACAGCAAACACTATCGTAAAACATTGGTATTATACTCAGCAACCCACACATTATTGGTCAAACACATAAAAGAGTGTTCAGTTTTAGCTCTTGTTCACGATCAACAAAGAATCAGGGGTGTGCTCTGATCATAAACATGAATTGTGCTTAGCTGTACACTGAATATACAGGAGACAATGGATAACCTGAACATCCTTAAGTAGCTTAGGTATCTCATGTACTTGTCCACATTCACCATCCACCGCATTTTCCATCTCATTTCCCAAAGGTGACAAATGTGTGTCATTCTTGGTATGCAAGTCCTGGTTAGCAGTGGTTGGTTTACCAGGTGCCTCAGAGGTCATAGCAGTTGCTCCCACTTCATCATCATTTAATGCATCTACTTGTGCACCTGTATTAATTGTAATGTCATTAGTCGATGATTTCCTGCAGTGTGGTATGCCACTTTCTATGTCGTCGAAAATTGGCTGGGATATTTAGTGTAAAAGTAGAGGAGAACTTCTAATTTTCTCGGAGATTAAAACTGAACTTTTTTCCTGATAGTTTCAAAGTAGAGACTAATAACTAATACGGACCAACCTCCGGCCTCACTGCACGTTTCTGCCATATTTGGTCTGCCTTCCTCCAAAGAATCCAGTTCTTCTGAGCCATTACGCCCCATGTCATAATTCTCTGAATTATTACCTGATGTTTTGTTTATTTCTTGCCTTTTCACGTTAACGGCATCATTGTGGCATTTGTGGCAAGGATACCAATCTTTCTCATCGCAGCATGCGAAATGTATCAGGCAGGTATTTCGCTCGAAATGTTGACAAAATGACTCGCTGGAGAAACAGGAGATAAAAAAGGTGGGTTACGTGGATGATAATATGAGTTTGATAACTCTGGCAATTAATGCTTTACGAGAAAGACAGAACGAGTAAAAGAAATATTGCGCAAAAATTGAAAAGATTCACCCAGTGTGGGTTCTGAAGTGTGGCTTGGTCGACAGACTAGTCGAATTCCATCGGTTCGTGTATTCAACAAATAATAAATGAGCTCGATGGCATCATTCTTTAACTTCTTCATCTAAATATACACCTAGCTCAGTAAAGCGATAAAATATGCAAAATCGTACGATGAACGGCTCTGTGCATAGTCAGGTTTATCATGATTTATTCTTGCAGGACTGAATTTTCAACCGTCAATTGAGCATGCAAGAGCAAACTTAGATTACCTTTTACACGACCCATGCTCTTCATGTATTTCCATTATCGACCACTTTTCTTTACCATTCTCCAACACGATTTGTAGAATACTTCGGTAAGCTAAGAGAGGCATGTGGTGGTGATCAAAGAACGACAATCATCTTTATTCCAACTGAATAGTTGGGACTTTCCCGTGAGGGACTTTCCCTGATCACTCTACTCGTTTACAGAATTCCATCTTTTTTGGGAAGACCATCCAGAATCTAGACATGGCTATTTCTGTGTATCGACAGTTTTCTTCATTGTCCAAGCAATTTCGTTCTTATTTGATCTTTAGCGTTCTTGGGACAGTGCGGATTAGAGTCACACGTTAAAAGCTTTCGGGCTGAGGAAATAAAGGATCATATGGGAAAACCCCCTCATCGAGGTCAACAATGGCGTTCTTAATAATCTATTTATGCAAATACACGGTAGCCTATAGATATTGCCGCAGAAGATCCAGACTAATCAACTCAGTCTCTCTTTCCTCTCGATTCCCATGATTAAATTGGGGAATATATTTGTATGCTAAAGAAAGCGGGGAACTGGATTCTTCGACGGCAACAGGAATATGAAGACTAATCGGGACTTTCCCATAAGAAGGGACATTTTCCAATTGCAAATGAAGTCTTCTTTGTTGATGTAATGTTTCAGTACCATGGAAACACCACGGGGAAACACCGAGGGAAAAACCCCCTACGAGGTTTCACCCAATCACTGAAACTATCAATGAGGGAAAAAGCCCATAGGGAAAATCCCAGTTACCCACCATTTATTAAGTAAGCAGTACAATCAGAGTATCAGTTTGATTTATTCAAACTTAGAGGCGCATCAATTGCATATCACAGATCTTCAATAGATAGTGTGAAATCTGAAAAGATTAGTCACCTTTAACCCAAGATCAAGAGGTATTTTCTGGTAACGAATTGTCATAAAAGCAAAGTTAACATTTCGGCAATTGAAAATAGTTTAATGCTAGCCGTTTGGTTTCAGAAATGGGTTCCGTTCTCAGTTGTGTTGGCAGTACCATCGTCCGTATTGGTGCTTGGTTCGTATCCGGTGTCAAGAAAGTAGTGGGTACCATCTTTGAGCACATTTGGAAAGCAGCTCACGCGTTCTTCATAAAAGTAGAAAGTGCTGTGGATAAAATTGTTAAATGGCTGAAACCGTATCTAGAACCGGAAACGGTCTCTGCTGCGACCACTCAGACTTGTGGCGTTGGGGTACTTTCCTCGATAATTCTCACTATCATGCTCAACCTAATTCAATATTGTTAAATATGAGGTCAATTATTATTTCAAACTATCACCAGTTAAATATTCCCTCGTAAACCCAAGTACCAATTCATTTTGGTTTATTTCTTTTCATTTTAATGAAATAGAGCCAGATCCAAAACTTACCATGAAGTTTTGCAATATTAATGTGCATGAATTGGTATTACAGTTGTGGACCAAAGTTATAATGATGCTTAAAATATCGCATATCTTGGCTAAATTAAAACAGATGCCACCATAACAATGGTTTACGAATTGACCGATGGCAGTAGAAGCAATTGTACATTCAGTATCTACAAGAAACGTAACTTAAGGCAGTAAAAAAACTGTTAAGAGATGTGACTTTTTTCAGGATTTGAGAGCATCTCCCATTGCTGCGTCAGGGCATCGGACAACTGTTCAGACTCAAGGTACATTTATTGAAATAAGATTGGATTACTTGCTATACGTGAAACTGATCGATCTGGCAATTAACAGCCATTACGTACATACTTTTCTTTGACAGTTTTCCTTAAGTTTTAAACGAGTTATGGGAATCGTGGATTCGATTTACTAAAATTAAAGACCTATGCCTACCAAAAAAAAGTTACTGGGTATGTGAATCATGCATCAAGCTTATTTTCTTTGAGACCTTTAGGACCTTTTCAAAACCTGAAATTCAGAGGAAGAGGGAAAGGATTTTTTTTTTTTCTTTTATCACGTCAGCCCAGCTTCACTTATACCCTCGCGCAATTTCAAGAGGACAGGAATCTGATCTAGGTATTGAACGCAATCATTATAAGTGTCCTTCGGTTTATGAAAGGTACTCGGCCACGGGTTGCGACTGAAGAACCAGCCCAAGCTCAAGTCCCGGAAAATACGAGGGAAGTTTTCCATGCCATGGAAAAGTTCGGTGGCGACCTCCAAGAGTACGCAAGGGGCATGATAGAAGTTATTGACGACAGTGAGCAGAACGGAAGTGTGGCGACAACATGTAATGTGAAATAGTTTTACTAGTCTAAATAATCAACAATCATTTTGAAATAACTATTGCTTCCGAACAATTGATAAATGACTCACAAGTGTCGAAACACATACACAGTTATTGAAAGTTTCTGTTTTGTGGTCTGGAGATATTAGAAACTTCATTCAGAACTGCTACGGAGGGTGTGTGAACTCTCTAGCTGATGGTAACAACATTCTAATAATAATTATAACCATTACAATTTCCTCAAATGTGATTAGTACATTAGCTGCTTTATTTTTCAGTTATTATTCTGTAGAGTTGGAACCGGACAGTTTGCTATATTCGGGCAACTGTACTTGAACAGATAAAGCAGTCTACTAAGCAAAATCCACCAATCACAGACTCGATCACAAGAACTATGGAACAACCATTTATACTAAAAAAAAACTGGGGAACTACAACACTTTTTAAACATTGTCTATGCTGGAGATATTATATCATACATTGGAGACAATGTACTTGTTTTCTTTTTTCGGAAATTACAATGGTTATGATTAATTGGTAACTGATTACAGACCGAATTGGACTCCACTCGGTCCTACTGCCATTTTTAATAATGCCTTGTTTCTTATCTTTTCAGCCCGCAAACTGGAAGATTTGAACAAGCAGGATTTCATGAAAGACTAAACGAATATCATGAAAAACTGGCGAGCTATCCCAAAAGATATGACTTCTTAACTATAACACTTTTAGACAAGTAAAAGAAATAGCATATCCGCTTCAGTGCCATCTCTTATGCTTTACTCTAGATGTACAAGCGCTGCGCGGACTATCAGTTCCACAAGACGGACTGTTTTGGCTTAAAGTAGACTTCACAGTGTTTATATAAAATTAAGGTTGCATAGGCAGTTCGACTGTTGCTTGTTATAGTATGTAAAGGAGTTACGTCTTTTTAGAAATAAAATATGCACTGTAAAAGTGAAATGTGCGTTGGAAGAATTGTAATCCATCAGATGAACTGTTTCGGCTCCCCTCTCAAAGATGTTAACCATTTTACATTGAAACCGGAGTGGGTGGCTATGGCTAAATCAAGAAACAGGAACAATTAATGGTTTCGATCCAGTTGCAGTCTCAAGAGCTCTTTTCCTTCTGATTATTTATTGTTTTATAACAAGAGCCACTTATTTCATTTAACGATTTAGTCAATAGTCATCGACTCGCTTAATTTTTTGTGCCCTCTTCGAACTTTCGAATCAGTATCCAGCTTTAAACCAGCGCCCCTTTCCAATCCCGCGAGCAACCCATTCTCCCAATTGTTCGACTGGAAAGCTTTCAAATAGAGGACTTCTATGCGGATGGTGTTACTCTTTGCAAACCCAAGTCATGGCCCAGCAGAGGCTACAAAATTCACTCCCTTTCCCCTATTCAAGAAGTGCCTTACGCTCCCGACAATACATAACTCATGAAGATGACCCCTTTGGTTAGGCAGGTGAGTACATCGCTTCAGTTTCATGGAATACCGCGAAGTTCGTTAAAATTGGTCCCGGAAAAAATATTTTCATATTTTATTAAAAGGCCATCTTTTAGGTTTATATAGAGGGGAGAACGCTTTACACTCGAGGGAAATTTGCATTGTCGAACTAGGGGGGTTTTGGTTTTAAGAAGAGGGAAATTGGTATCAATGTAGTAATTGTATTTATGGCTCATTCACATTAAATATAATAGCAAAGATGTCTCTTGCAATTCAAAATTGTACACAAATAATAGTCAGCTGGATAACTAACCGAGGGTAAGTTCGTGGTAATAAAAAGAATCACTCAGTCCTCATGTTTGAGTTTGTCTCATAAATTGTCGACTTTGTGTTGTCTGGTTTTGTACGTAAGGGCAATTTCCGAATATTAGCCCCGGGAGGCTTTTCTGCTTTTCAAATTTGGGAAGCTTACACTGAATCCAGAGGGCTGACTTTAAAGAATTGCAGGCTAGCTCTCATTTGATAATTGACACTTGTTTCGGCTTATCCGAGAAGTTGGAAGTTTGCTTCATATTTAATCATTGAAGAAAGAAGAAGAAAAAAATAGTTGTTTGTTTGTTTAAGTGCCAAAGCATAACAGGGAATTTTCTCTCAAATATGATCTTTCAGTTTTATTGTAACCCCACTGTTTTATCATTTTCCTACCTCTCCGAACATCCTTTTATCTAGAAAACCCAACGAATGGTTCTTTACTAAGCTCACATGTTCATCATTCACGACATTATGTCTGATCTGTTTTAGTTCTTAAAGCGAATTCATCAGAGGCTCCTAACTGTCCCATCAAACAACCGTGACACGGACTACTGATCTGTTTGTGATAGTCCATAGAAAAAGGGGAAAACCCCATGCCTTTTTGACTTTAGTAATTTCAACTTCCTGTCTCGTAGGCGCAAAGGGAATTTTACTTGGAGTCTTCGGAACGTTTGTTGTCACCCAGATTGCCATCACATAATGAGGGCAGTCAGTTTCTAGACCTTTAAATGTCTGCATGTTAGAATTTCTTGCCAAATCTTATCGCGATTAATTAAGCCGCTCACCGAGAGAATCAAGCTTTGGTTACTATCTCTGTACACCCTCAAGATTAAATTCGTTCCCACACATTTTTTTCTACATTTGATCACGAGAACCTTGAGAAAATTTAGCATTCTTCTTTAACTAAGAGNAATATTAAGGTACTTTTTCTCAAAGATTTCAAAGTGCTCCTGCTTGGCTCAACATAAAGGAAACGACGCACACTTCAATATGGGCGTCTCGTAATTTTTGTTTACGTTGAGAAGATGCATTTTCTACATTTTGTGATCCACGGAGCGCACTCGATACTTACCTCATAATGTTGTCTAGACTGACGTGTCAAATTAAATCTGTTGATAGATAGCCATGTGCCGAACCTCACTTTTCAACACCTTTCTTGTGAAAATCCTTCATTAAATTTTTGCCCCGCAGAGATGCTACGTGAAGAAAAATTAGACCCCCTCCTGACTTTGCGCTATTCAATAGCGCAAAATCGGGAGGGGGCAAGAAATTCAAAGTCGTATAAAGCTCGTCGTTGACCGAGAAATAAAATATGAAAATTAAAAGCCATGAAGCCGACCCCTAAATAGAGTTCACCGAAGGGAAAGCCCCACAACGAAATAATATTAAATTTCTTGTATTACCATAAATTCCCCGTTTACGAAGAATAAAGCTCTTAGTTATGATAACTTAAGCTTGTTTCAGCCGTTTGGGTTCGATCTTGTTTTCTTTAACAGCGGCCACATTTTAGGAAGGAGTTAAGGTAAGTGAAATTCAGCTTGAAAATCATGGTTACACACATATCACTACAATTGTGGTTTCTTGCTATTTTTCATAAAACCACCGTTGAATGCAAACATATTTATGAAATCAGCCTGCAGGTAAACAAGACCAAATCTTTCCGCAAGACATGAATAGAGCCGGTATACATGACATAAATGAAGTCGGACAACATATCGAATGGTACGCGAAGTCAATGTTATAAATTGTGGATGAAATTGAGCAGGGAGAAGGTACAGTGCAAACTGATAATGTACTCAAAGTTTTAAAAGTTTTATAATTTCGAAATAACTGTTAATGTTGCTTCCGAAAAATTGATTAGTGACTCACTTGTATCGAATACTTGTATAATTGTTGCGAAATGAACAGTTAATTGAAGTTTTTGTTTTGTGGTCGGTAGATATTGGAACTTTCATTAAGAACTAATAAAAAAGGTTGTGTGAACTTTCTAGGTGATAGCAACAACATTCTCGAGTTAATATGGCAGGTTTCTTATCTTTTCAGTACGAAAACTGAAAGATTTAGACAATCAGCCGTTCGTGGGAGGTTTAAAGCTTCGTGAAGAAAGCCGGAGAAAGGATAGCAAAGTGAAAATCATTCAAGGTAAAAAATTCATTTTAAAAACCTGCATATCGAGGGATTATTTTTAAAATCACGTCAGCCTAGCTTTATCTGTTTTCTATCATACCCTCACACAATTTCAAGAGGACAGAAATGCAATCTTGATATTGAACACAATCATCACAAGTATCCCTCTGCTTATGAAAGGTACATACGCACCGGTTGTGACTGAAAAACCAGCCCAAGTTAAAGTCCCGGAGCATGTGCACAGTCGCCGTGACGCATCTAACCTCAGTAATGCCCTCCAACAGTACTCAAAGTTCATGTTACAAGTTGTGGAAGAGTGTGAGCAGAACAACAGTGTAGCGGAAACAGGTAATGTGAAAAAAAAGTCTCAATAGTGTAAAGAAGCACCAATCATTTTGAAATATCTATTGCTTCCGAACAATTGATAAATGACTCACAAGCTTCGAAACACATACACAGTTATTGCAAGTTTCTGTTTCGTGGTCTGCAGATATGATAAAATTTCATTCAGAACTGTTACAGAGGGTGTGTGAACTCTCTAGCTGATGGTAACAACATTCTCATAGTAATCATAACTATTACAATTTCCTCAAATGTGATTGGTACATTAGAAGCATTTTTATCTCTTATTATTTTGTAGACGGTTAGAACTGGACAGTTTGCTATAATCGGGCAACTGTATTTGAACAGATAAAGCAGTCTACTAAGCAAAATCCACCAATCACAGACTCGATCACAATAACAATGGCAACAACCATTTATCCTAAAAAAAACTGGGGAACTACCACACTTTATAGACATTGTCTCTGCTGGAGATATTATATCATACATTGGAGACAAAGCACTTGTTTTCTTTTATCGGAAATTACAATGGTTATGATTAATTTATAACTTTCGCCTCTCGATGATTCTTTCCACGTCGTATAATTTCTTCCTTTTAATTTTTTTTCTGGCTCTGTCGAACAAGACAACCGACGAAAGAGAATGAAGCCGAAAATAATCCACTTCGGGCATGGCACGCTTACTGTCAGCCATATTAGTTTCTCAGCTATCATAGAGAACGCCGCTGCCGCTTCGCTGGCTCAAATGTCCGCGATTTCTGGCCATGTGGTAACTGATTACAGACCGATAGTAGTAAAAATAGTAGTAGGACTCCACTCGGTCCTACTGCCATTTTTAATAATGCCTTTTTTCTTATCTTTTCAGCCCGCAAACTGGAAGATTTGAACAAGCAGGATTTCATGAAAGACTAAACGAATATCATGAAAAACTGGCGAGCTATCCCAAAAGATATGACTTCTTAACTATAACACTTTTAGACAAGTAAAAGAAATAGCATATCTGCTTCAGTCTTATATCTTATGCTTTACTCTAGATGTTCAAGCGCTGCGCGGACTATAAGTTCCACAGGACGGACTGTTTTGGCTTAAAGTAGACTTCACAGAGTTTATATAAAATTAAGGTTGCATAAGCAGTTCGACTGTTGCTTGTTATAGTATGTAAAGGAGTTACGTCTTTTTAGTAATAAGATATGCACTCTAAAAGTGAACTGTGCGTTGCAAGAATTGTAATCCATCAGATGAACTGTTCCGGTTCCCCTCTCAAAGGTGTTAACGATATTACATTGAAACCAGAGTGGGTGGCTATAGCTAAATCAAGAAACAGGAACAATGATTTCGATCCAGTTGCAGTCTCAAGAGCTCTTTTCCTTCTGATTATTTCTTGTTTTATAACAAGAACCACTTACTTCATTTAACGATTTAGTCGATAGTCGATTCGCTTAATTTCTTGCACCCCTTTCGAACTGTGAAATTGGCATCCCGCTTCAAACAAGCGCTCTTTCCAATCCCGCGAGCAACCCATTTTCGCAATTGTTCAAATTGAAAAGCTCTGAAATAGAGGACTTCTGTGCGCAAGGCGTTATTTTTGTTAAAGGCTGATAGTTTCGAAAGATATTGTTTGGGGCTGAGTCGGTGGGGGTAACGAAATAAATTGGATATATCAACAAAGTTGAAATGGTAATTTGGCCACCGTAACGATTACAAAAGCTGACGTTTCGAGCGTTAGCCCTTCGTCGGAGCGAAGTTATTTTTGTTAACCTTATTCGTGGCCCAGCGGAGACTACTAAGTCCACCCCCACCTCCCTCTTTCCAAGAAGTGCGTTACCCTATCGACAATACATAGTGCAAGCTGTTATTTTTGTAACTTAATTTGTGACCAGCGGAGGCTATTAACCTCCCCCCTTCCATCGACTTCCAAGAAGTGGCTTATCCTTCTGACAAAGAGATATACCTTGAAGCGGTTTTCGCTAAAGCAACAGATATTAATTTTGAGGCGGATTGGTAGGAATAACAGAATATTGTAAAATAAGGACGTGGGAAATGTCTTTCGACTGCCGTTTATTTCGAACTTAACTAAAAACCATTCTCACGGCTGGTCTGAATAGTCTAAAGAATCAACAATCATTTTGAAATATCCCGAATAATTGATAAATGACTAACAAGCGTCGAAACACGTACATATGTAAGACGGCCAAAACGGTCGACGTAAGAACAAAAGATCCGAGGGAAGATTTACAAGTTTATTACACAGCAAATAAATGCAACGGTACAATAAAAAAACGGGAACGAGTGACACTAAACAATAAATAAGAAAACAAAGTTCCAATGAGCCAAATGATGTAGCAAGATTAAAATGACTTAGGAAAAAGTACTTAACAGTAAAAGATAACCTACAGACAGAAATAATTCAGTAAAGAAAGGAAACAAACAAAGTACTTGAAAACAGGAAATTGTGTGACAGAAACTATCAAAAATAGTGATTGCTACACCAGGCATGAATTCAACAAAGATTACAAGCTAGGCTTAATATTACAACTTGAGCTAATACAGTATAAAACAGTGAAAGGAGAAAATGAAATTACTAGTGTAATGAACCCATAATTTGGTTCTGAAAACACAGGAATCATAGCAACAATGAATTGGAAGCAGGTAAGCAAAATATTACAGCTGCTAAACGAAAACAATTGAAGTTCATATAGCAGAGAAAATAAATAAGATACAGTAGTAAGATAAAAAGAGTATGTGGCTAAACTAAGCAAATTCTAACCCGAAAATCACTACAAAAATACAATGGAAACAACTACATGCTAAGCTTAGGGCTCAAACAAACATAAAATACTGAAACATACCAAAAGCTAGTATAGCTTAGAATCCGCTTTAAAGACACTCTCAGGAAGGCAACAAATCAACTGAACTCACCGAGCAAACAGTTGTAACTTATAGTAAAATACAGGAAAAGGTAAAAATAACTTAAAACCAAATTTGGGCTAGGAGCGATTAATTAAACAGGAATTACATAAGGGAAATCGGCAATTAAACAGGAATTACATAAGGGAAATCGGCAATTAAACAGGAATTACATAAGGGAAATCGGCA